CCATCTTCCGGAGTACGCTCACATGACATAACATGGGCGTGTTTCAAATTTGTGGCTTTTAAAAAGCCCACTTACAGTATTTATGGGTGATTATCGGCTTTGTATACTTACCATTTTGTTGTAGATGATATATGTTTCCCTCAAAAACAATGCTCCGAATTCATGCATGATTTATTGTGTATACTTTTTTTCTTTGTTGCTATATTTTCTATTTTTCTTTTTATAAACAAAATAATGATAATTGCTATTGCAAAAGAAACATGTGTTACAATATCAATAGTAAGTTGTTGAAAAAGACGGAAATAAATTAGAAAAAAAAATACTAATATTAATTTTTATAAGAATCTTTAGATAAGCTTTGGCAAAATATCCAAGATATGTCAACTTCCATTTTTGCTGGTGGATGATCTATTTAGCAAAGATATTTTCATTTTCACAAACATTTTTATAAAAATTTAGATCTTGCTATATATTTTATTTCATCATTTGTTTATATATATATATATATATATACACATATTTAAATTTTAAATCAATTAGATTTTAAAGTTTCTTCCATGCACAAATATCTTAATTAGATATTATGCAACACAAAAACTAATGTTTAATTATATTCTAAGTCTTTATAGAATTTAGTTTTAAAAATAATAATCTAAATGAATGGTGATAATCACCAAGTAATTGATTCTTGCATTGTAAATGAACATTTATAAGCAAAAATCTTATTAAAGAATATATTAAGTAAAGACTAATTATTTCTATTGAAATTTATTAGAGGCTTATATAGATAAAAATACACGGATATAATTTGTATATTATTTTAAACAGCACAATTTATAGCCAGTAAATAAACATTTTTCAAGTATCTTTTTTATTATAAAGCACCAATACATAAGGATTCATGCTTTGTGATGATATTTATCGTAAGTTTTTTTGTATTTTGTTGTAGAATTGTAATAATTTTCTTCTTTCTTAAATTTTTAAGTTCTAAATTTTTGTTTATAAGATATTGAGATTTCAATGCTTTGCTCTATTTATGATAATATAGAGAATTTTAGTAAAGATGAGATTTTAAAATCACTTTTGAAATTCTAAAGTCAAAATTTTCTAATAAATCTAAATATTTATATGCTTTTTAAACATATTTATTATTATTAATACATGATACTAGAAAATAAATAATTATATGTAACATAAATTATATTTAAACTTCATATTGTGTATTTTTAATTTTGGTGATATGCTATATATATATAATATAAATAATATTAATAATAAAATAATCTATAACTAAATAATGATAATATATATACATGATTTTTAATGACTTATTAATGTACTATTTGAGCTTAATAAAAAAAAATTGTAATTGTAGATTTAAAAAATCTAACTAATCATAATTTTGTTTGGTTTTGCATGGTTTTTAAAGATATGCATTTAAAACGAGTAGAAAAATGATAATTCTTAAATAAGATTTGTATCTTTTTTATGTAATTTAATTTATTTTTATTATTATTATTAAGATCCTAGCTTTATATACGTTTTTTTATTATATTATTTGAATTCTTACCTTTTGATATTAGCTCTTTAATTTTAACTAAATTAATTTTTATAGTGCATTTTTATGTTTTTTTTCTTCTTTTGTTTGCTCTATTGTAGATTATTTCTTATTGATTAAAAATAATTTTTTTTGAATTTTTTAGCGTAAAGACCATTGGTTGGCAAAGATTAAGATTTGGTATTTAACATACATAATGTATATTTTTTTGTTTCAAATTTTTACATAAAATCCTTTTACTCATCCATAGAAGATATTTATTATTTTTAGAATTTAACTTGCAACTATAAAATATCTAATAGTGTTTTTTCAACAATAGTCCAAACCTCTTCAATCTTTTTGATCCAAAAAATACAAAAAAAGACTCTTCTATTTTAATTTTTTAATGATACAAAGAATATTTTGTAACATCTTTCTTTATGTACTTTGTATCCAAAAAAAAACATCTTCTTGTATATTTACATTTATAAAAACCAATATAAGCTCTTATTCATTAATATTTTTGTTTCATGAAATTTTTATGTAGTACATTCTTTTAATTAATTCATCTATTAATTATCTTAGTATTATATATTTTTTGTAAAGTAGTATATGAAGTTTTTAATAGATGGTTTAATAGTCCCATATCTATGTGAATAATTTTTGTTTTATTTTCTTTTTTAAAAAAGTAATCATTGCTTGTATAAAACCTTCTTGATTGTGCTAAAGTTCTTATCTTGTTTTTTGGTGTAATTTTATTAAAAATACAATCTGTTTTTAAATTACAACAACTTCTCGATAAAAATGATTTTATTTTATTGTTGTCATAAGATATAGCTTGATTTGCATCTCCAAGAAATTTATGTCGTTTTAACTTCCATATTTGTACATTGTTTACAGTTGCATTACTATTTTTCTTTCTACGTTGTTATAATTTTTTTTAAATATATTTTTTTATCTACTGATTTTTTGAATTATTTTTTAGAGATTATTTTTTAATAAATATTTTGATAATTTTTAATACGATTCTTTGAAGACTTTCTTGTTTTTGATAAATAATTAAAATTATATATATATATATATATATATAATTGTCTAACTCCGTCCAAGAGATACGTAACATTTTGGTCTGTTTGGTGAAGTTGGAGTTTTATTTATCTATATATTACTTCTAGATAATGACCAACTAATCATAGAGGCACAGAAACTACTATCATATGCTCATTACTTCTTGAGCCGTGTTTTTTCATCCTTAGTTTTTTTTTACCATTCAGATATCATCATCCTCAAAGAACCTTGTTTATAAAGCAATTCCGATTGTTTTTTCCCATATCTACAATCCAAAAAAAAAAAAAAAAAAACAAAACAAAACAAACAAACAAACAAACAAACAAACAAACAAGAATTTTGTAATTTTGTCATAATCTTTTTTTTTATTATGGAACATCCAATTTATCCCTACTACTACCTGTAAGGTTGCTGTTAAAATCTCTTCTAAAAGTATTGTGCATGCATGAATTTTTATAAACACAATCTTGTTATTTTCAATGCTAAGAATCTACATGAAATGAGCTTGGATCCAAATTATAGAATCCATGAATGGTTTCTAAAAGGATTATGCATGCAAGAGTTTTTATAAATACAATCTTGTTATTTTCTAAGCTAAGAATCTACATGAAATGGACTAGGAATCAAATTATGGAATCCATGAATGGTTTCTGTATAGCATCAAACATTCCATACCAATCTATAGTTGCTCTAATACTAAAACTTATCTTGTGTTTTGTGTTTTAGCATATGATTCCGGACTACACCCTGGCAGTGATTCCTCAATATTTCTGACGTCACAATGATATAGGATCTGTTCACGTCATTATACCATTCAATAGGTCTACAAATAACTCCACTGTGGCTGATTCCCATGCTCTATTCATTGCCATATTTTGCTTGCAGTAATTTCGTTTGATACTAGGGAGCTAATGCGGTGCATGCAAGTTGAATCAAGCAAATTCCGCAAAAATATGAATTCCTCCAAGGCACAGCTGATTTAATGGTTCTATGCTAGGATTCCAACATGAAGCTGCACATCTGTCAGGAAAAGCACATTTTCCGATGGGGTGGGGTAGATCAGCGGTTGCGGCGAATCACAGCGGAATGTGATGTTGCTTCGCAAGCAAATTTAAACATTCAGGTTCCCTTGCAAACTGCAACTTCAATCATGACCACCCTACTTTAGCTTGCAAAAGAGAATGTTTATAAACCCTCAAGCTAGATCAAGGTTGATGTTGTTGCCTCAGCTTAGTGACACAGGAGCTACGACGTTGTGGGAGTTACTGCAACTGACAAATTTGTCGTAATGTGTTTGTGACAGAGGTTTAGAAGTGTGTGGTGACCTAACTTCGTGACACGTCTTTTGATTTTGCATGATATTTGAGCGCCGATACCATAGTCGATTCATAATCCATTTGACTGACAAGTGAATACTAGTCCGTCGAATTTTGGATTTGTTCATTTAATGAAGGGACTATCCGTTTCATGAACGGTTGTGACAGTAGGGTCACAATCTATGTCGCCCGCTGTTGCACCAAATCTGACAACTGGGTCTCATTACACAAAATGGATTTTCCATCAAAGTTTTACAACATTCAAAATCCACATGTTTGTCTTCGTGATGATAACAATCCACACTGTCCTCCACTTTGACGCATTTTTTTCATGTCAACCACGATGCCAGATAAGTCTCGCATTCAAGTCTTTAGGGTTCAAATTCTTGTTAACTGAATACTCCATGTGGAAACAGCAGCTGATACAGACCTGCCTTAAGCATCGGAAGGGGGAAGAACCTCTGCTACAGAAATTATTTTCGAAAATTCACGATGAACTATTTCCAATACTCCGGATCATTTATGCGGCACTCAGGCCTTCCAGAAGATCGGAGTATTCTTCACTCATTTATTCATTTTTCGTTATAGGATGTATAAGACGAATTCATTTTTTTTTTTTTTTTTTTTTAATTTATTAAATTAATTCTTTTATTCACAGAAGTGGTACTTTATTTGGGTACTGTTCCAGTTCGGTTTCGGAGATGGCACCGGAGGCGAAGTCAAATAATCTAAGCCTGACGCCCGGATAGGACCCACCAATTAAGAGCAGATTTCGAAGGAGTTGAAGAAGCGGAGCATGTGTCCGGAACACGATGATGCGGTGATGGAAACATGAAGCAAGCAGCAAGGGCGAGAGTTGGGCCAGAATGGTGGTCCCATCGTGTGGAATCCGGGGGAGTGGAGGTCATTTCCAAAATGGTGCTGAATCCACGTGACACCGTCCGCCGACTCATCGACCCACATGGGCCAGGGCCCACCATTGCCTGGCCCAGCCCACGACCTCTATCTTTGTCGCTGCCCCCCCCCCCCCCCCCCGCTCTCGATCAACCCTCCTGCCACGCTAACAACAATTTGATCCATCATGTTCTCCTGCACGGCAATCGGAGCTCGCGTACTACACATGTCCCTGCGACCGTAATCGCTGTTGCAATCCCCATGAGGAGAAGCCACTTGCGGTGCTTAAAATTATGAACGTAGCGATGTCGATGACGCTGCCGGCGGTCAACGGAAGGCATAGGCGAAGAAGAGAGAGAACGAGAGAGAAGAAATCGTTATTGGTTTCATCACAGGTTTGATGCACAGGTGCTGAGGCGGAAGCAAATGGAATTGAAGCCGTGATTGATTGCTAATGATTTTTTGCAGTGGGGAGTTAGCAGAGTTGCGGGAATGCTTCCCGGTTCGGTGAGTCCCCGTTCCTGGATTGATGTAGCGCGGAGGTTGTGAGGGTGGAGGTTCGTTGATTTGTTTGCACTTTTTGGAGATGAGCATGTGGAGAGGCGTGCAGCAGGAGAATGAGCTGCTGCCAGTGAGCGGTGAACATTGAGAGGATCAACGTCGGGGTAGGATTAGAAGGGCGATCAGTCCAAAATGAGCGTTCATAGTGGATTACCTGCTTGGATAAATTTGTAGTATCACATTGATGTCGCTCTTTGATTATCGTCATGCAGTCTACCTTCTAGTCGCATAGAGTTGTTCGGAAGATCCAGGGTTTAGTTTCGCATAGAAAAGCTTCGACACCACTCAAGGTTGCTCCATATGGTTTCACTAGGACGTGTGAACTGTAGGCGATGTAGGTTTGACACTTTTTCTTCTTTGTGGTTTCTAGAACCACACTACTGTTGTTTCTCAAGATCAGAGTTCAACTTCATCAGCACTCGGTATCGCTGTCCGTTTTACTGCAGCCTGAATACTTTACTCAGTAGAAGAGCGGATATTATGTTAAGAGGAAAACTTGATTGTTCTGCCAACTTCAAACAACAATGACGTCAAGGTTTTGCATCCTGAGGTCCACGTTGGCTCTGTGACACGCTTAGTTCTCGTCTTTTATATCAGTGTTTTTGTACTGACTGCAAAGCTTGTTCTAGGTTAGTCCTCTTCAGTGTAAGTCCGTAATGCTCAAGCGACTAGTAGCCCAATTATACAAACTATACATGCTTTCTAGACGCTCGAAAGTACAACAGATGGGATCAAGTTGTCCTTGGGGACTTTTGTTGGAAAAATACGAGTTGATGAGGGAGATAAGACATTGTTCCCTCGATCAGGACCTAGCACGGTGTCCTTATAATCAAATCTGTCCTCGTGCTTCCGTAATAAAACATGTCAACATAGCATTATGTTCACGCTGCATGTTTTGCATGGTTCACCTGCAGAACTTTCTCATCTGTTGAATTTCTTGTTTTGCTACTACTACTGTTACTACTGATAGGAACTTTGCCCGATGATCGGATTTAGAGAAAAAGAGTTTTCTTCATCCCATTGTGATATACTGACAATTTTGTTAGGGACTACCATCCTGCAGAAGTTGGAGATAATGTTGTGCTAGAGAATCGTATTTCTTACTGGTGGACGTTCAACTCTGCTGTAAGCCTGACTTACAATCTGATCTCCTTTTGACATGGATTTAGTTGTACGGATACTTACAGTAATACAAGCTTTGTTCCTTCTATTATTACGTAGGAGTCGAAATAAGTAAATCTGGTAGTAATATAAAGATTGAAGTTTCCTTGATCATCGTACGATAGCTAGCTCCATGGCAGCTTGATTGATTCTGCCTCTTGACTTCTGCCTACAGCCTCCAGGATGGGTGATGCTCGATCATGCAATGGCTATTTCTAAAGTCTAATTCTTTTATATATTAGTCATCAAGTTATTTCCAATACGGAAGAATGTTCTAGATTCTGCATCAAGGGCTGTTTAAGCTCATGTGTCGATCACATCAAATTATTGATTATGCAACAAGGTCGCATTTCGAAGACTACTCATTGGCGTCGACACAACTTCCTCCACAATGTAATCGCGAAGTTATATGGAGCAACCCCAGTGTTGGAATCTCGCGTCAGATGAACTTCTACGACGAGGAAGAACAGCCCAGGGTAAAATCTCCCTCCTAACCCACTGTTGGTAACGTTACTGGTCAAACGTCTCTGCAAAAACCAAGTTTACGAGTTTGCATAAAACGCTAGGGAAGGACATGAAAAGATGAGGGCTATGCATTGCTCTGTTCTGTCACTTATTAAAAGATTTCAGTAGGAGATGTTCAATGTTAATGAAGCATTCTGAAATCTCTGATCGTATTTGAGACAATTGGTACTGGCAAACTCCTAACATTATGAAGGTGAAATCACAACAGGACAAAAAAGGGAAACGAAGTATTTGTGTAGTCGACGAGCAGCGTCCAATCAATAATTTGAAGGCTCCAGGTGATGTTCTGTTGAGACCACCAGTTTCCAGTGACCAGAGGCGCCCAGCAGAGGAGTTATGTACGCTGGCAGCAGCTGTGATTGACAATTTTGGAGCTGTTAACGTTCTTCCAACTGACAAGTTTGGTGCTGTTCACTGGTATAACAACCAGTCTTCAAGCTTCGGTTCTACATACAGTCAGCGATTTGAGACTGCAGAAGAATCAATTGGATCCATCAACGTTCAAGGGGATAACAAAAAGTTACTAGAGGATGTTCGGGGGAAATATCATCTCACAGAATCTGGTAGTTTCTCCGTGAACGAATCTGGATGGGGGAGGAATAATCCTCTTCATTCTACTTCAGCGGGTACAAGCAATCCTTGTTCGAGCAGAGTATACGATGGTTCTTACTCAAATTCAATAACACACATTTGCCCCCTCGATGAGCAAACGCCAGATGATAAAAACGAAAATGACGAGGACGGCGGCAATGAGAGTGGAGGACCTCCGTTAAAACGTTTTTGCGCTTCATCCAGATATGTAAGCAGTTTTTTTAATTTTTTTAATTTTTTTTCCTTCTCTTCTGTGAGCACACTCGCAATGGTATCTGCATGCTCCTTGCCCAAACTGATAAAATATGCGGTTTCATTCGAAGCGCTTAAGGTAGTCGAGGTATGTCAGTCGCTAATCATGTATGATTGGTTAATTTGTGAAGCGTCATGGTCGTAGAGATAGTCAGAAAGTTTTGGTGAGCTTCAGTCTTATGTGCCTGCTATGGATGATTTGGGGGTAGTTAGCTTTTAAAATCTTAATCCATTTGATTTTAAATCTTTTTGCGGTGTCTGTGCCATTGTCTACGTTGAGGGCGTGTCAATCACCGGGTGTATCGTTGGGAGTATTTTCCTTTCGATATACATAATGAAAGATTGATGAACTGACTGGTAGTTCTTTTGTCAGGTACAGAATGTACAGGAAAAGAGGACTGATAAAAGACATGTGCATTTCTTATCCCCAGAGCCTATCTCTGCTGATTGTAATGAGTTATTGCAAAGTTCAAACTTGAGACACAATTTCGATACGAGAACAATATCACCCCCTACTTCACATGTTAACATTGGTTACCCCAAATCGGAACCATCTGGACTTCCTTCAGCTTCCAGTGCCCCCCCTCTGCCTCACCGTGGTTCCAGAAAATCCGCACAATCCCTTGATCTAAATGAGCTACCAAAGCCCTCAGTTGAAGAAGATTCAAGAAGTTCCTTGAATTCTTTCGGGTCGGATGATGGATCGGTGCGTGAAATACGCTCTAACTATAAATTTGCTTCCATTGGTCGACAAGCATATTTGCGGGAGCGCATGGAGGAACGACAGAAACTTCAGGTATGTCTCCAAGTTTCAGAAGTATTTGATTATTTGAAGTGATGGCTAAGGTAGGAACTCGGATTCCTTACTGCAATCCAAGTTTTTCAAGTTCTCACATCGATGTTTCTTGCAACCACTCTCATGCATGAATACGTTACCAGTAATTTCTTACATGTTTCTGTTCTTAGAATGCACTTATGTTGTGCTCAAAACCAAACATCTAAAATGCCACCAAATTATGTGGGAGTTTTAACTGCTATTAGGGAACCTGTTACGTATAGTAATCACTTTTCAATGTAAATGTTTTTACGGGTATGTAATTCTTTCATCCGGCTGATCTAGTTCATTGTCTTTGCTTTCAGGATGCTACTCCTGCATCCATCCTGGGTCTGCCGGAGACGCATGGAGCAGAGAGATGTCGTTATGTTGTAGCTCCGGAGGTATGTACTTTCAGTTTTTATAAAGTAATTGTAAGATTATTGTTTCGTCATAAATTATTTTTCTATGAAGCCCGTTGAGGAATTCACTACATAGTAGACTGTAGGTGGGTCAGTATAAAGGTATTTGCTTACTTTAAGGTTTTTCAGGTTAGAGTATCGACTCTTTCACAAAAATTTGTTCGAGTGTCGCAGACTTTATTTAACCGTAGTCTGGTGCTTTTTACGTAGGATCTGGTGTGGTTGAATATTCGACATTATTGCGGAATGGTGCTCGACCTAGAAACCAGAGCTGTTCTGGGAACTGCGGTTCTCTTTATACCCAATGGTTCCAATAATCGAAAATCTTCTTGGGTGACAAGCGTAAACACTGTTGAGGGCCGATGGGAGGTCGCCATTAAAGATTGCGAAGGAGAGATACAACTGGCGAAGCTGATGCTTACCAGCACTGCATTTGGACTAGCTTTCTTCAGTGTGCGGCCGCAGCAGAAAACTTTTGCGCTAGCCTTCCTGAGCATTGTCGCTGGCCCTACCAGACTTTCCCATCAACTGTTTGTAGACGCTAATCGAGGAGATCAAGTCTATGTCTTTGGGTAATCATTCCAAACCATCTCATGCACCCTTGGATATACATCGCCATCGCAGATATGTAGACATTACTCGAAATTCAATTGTCAGTCAAAGGTTAAAAGGTTCTTTCATGTAAGCTATTATTTTGTGCAGATACGAGGAGCCCTGGGAATCCGAAGCGGGAAGAATAGCAGATGTCAGGGTCCGACCTGGTAGAATAATAGAAGCTGGAAACATGGAGATTGTGGAGATCGATTTTACAAAGGGCCGATTAGGGGGTTCCATCACCACCCCAAGTGGCTTCAGCGGGGGCTTGGTGACGCGATCAGATGGACTCTGGATTGGTGTTATAACTGGCCAAACTGTGGAGGGTCATTCATCTCTGATTGATTTTTCTTCTGCATACAATGTCCATTCCCTCCTTGATGAGTTGTAGTCTGATCAATGAGCTGATCCATGAACCTATAGTCACGAATAATGAGATCTTTCTAGGTCTTCTATATATTATACCAGAACACCAATTCCTGGTGCAAACAAATGACTTCAAGAAGTTCCAGTATCAGCTCCCAACAATCCCTGTGAGAGAAGTTGTGATATTGTAATGATTACATCTGACCACTCAACTTGCAATTACTCTTTTGTTACCTAAGCTTAGTGCAGATATATCGACGAAGGTAGAAATCCCATAGAATGTCTAAGTGCTGTTACGGTCGGAGATTTGGCGGTTTTTGTGCGTTTACACGCAGTATAAAAGCTACACAGATTTTCTGGGCTCCTCCCCATTAATGGTGATTCTTTCCCTGAGACCTTGGTTAGTTGAGAGAATCGCTTACAATTAAAACGAGTCCTTGGTCTCCACCTCTGATCTGCATTCATGTGGTGACAGCAACATGAAGCAGTGTGGCAGGAATCATTTACACATAGGTCACGTGTTTATAATTGAGGCAACATACTGTTGTATGATGCAAGATTAAACTGAGAAGTATTGAACTCTCATTTTTCGTAGTTACTTCCCCCTTGCACGAATACTTGGCACGAGGGATTAATCACCTATGTTCTGCTGAAAATTCAATGTTTCAGCTTCTTCCTGCCCATCAATGCATACAGATATTTGTTGGTGAATGGAGACACTGACAAGTATGAAGGGGAGCCATGATTTTATTCAGAATATCAGACCTAAGAATTCTGATTACAAGTCGGAACCACTAGAACTTGCGTTCGCAGAATTTTTACCACAATATCAGCCTCATCACCATTGCGTGACATATCAGTTGATTTTCCTTCAGACAAAGCAGTTTTCATTCTCATTCCAGCATCGCTCTTGTATGTTTGGAAGTTCTGATGTTGAAAAGTCTTCATTTCTCAAGGGCCAGAAACCATAACGTAATGTTCAATAAGTTGAAAAAAATGAGTTGCCATTTTGACAATCACTTGCTGTGGCTGAACCTCAGACAGGGAAATTTCACTTGTCATGAGGCTCACATCCATTCATAGGTATCATCTGTGCCATGCTATTCTGCAGAACTTGACGTTACATTCCTGGTGCATTCAGCCTAAACTGCAACAACGTTTGTAATTATGCTGAATAAATCTGAATCGATTTCGTGTTTTGATCTAGCTGTGCCTTCCAGCAACTGAAAGAAATGATCTGAACAATCGAACAGAGCATCAGCGAGTGATTAAACTTCAGCCTCAAAGTTCAGTGGCGTTGAATAACCATAAACCGAGTAGCCATTGTCATATTCAAAATTGCCTCGACAATCCGGAAGCCAGTTGGCAGTTCGTTGGTTAACATCGTATAGCAACGTCCTCACCACGCCGTTTTTGAAGGCTATGCCATTCCTGTGTCCAATAGCTGACCACATCCGATAAGTTTCGTCGGAAGCGTGGTCCTCAAACAGAGGGTGAGGGATCTGAGAAATCTCTGAGCAAGTTCTGGCTGTCATGTTGAACTGCCAGATCGAGATGCACCTGGGAGTGTGTCCTCTGACCTCACCAACCAAGTACAATGTTTCACCGCAGTTAACCAACAAAGTCATGCTCAAAGAGTAGGGAACTTGTATGTCAACCTTGTTCCAGAGATCTCGATTCAAATCGTAGGACCAGAGGTCACAAGGGTCGAAGCTGAGCACATACATGATTTCGTTGCAAATGGCCGAGGACCAAACAATGTCGAGGTGTGGAGGCATGAGCCTGAGCCTCTGCCAACACCGTGTGGATGAATCGTAAACCTGAAAGCTCAGCACGAGTGATCAACACGAACTTCAGAAGCATAGCAATGCAAACATTGCTCGGGATGTGAGCAGACGATATGGGTGCTCCGTAAGGTATTAGTTGTGTGATGCAGAGAAGTTTTATTGTTGGGTAAGATATGATGAGGTGTGTTAATGGTGATGATTGTGCCTGCATTGCCATGGGGCTCAATAATGTCTCCGGTGACGAATCGGCAGCAACAAATATCTTGTACTTCCAGGTGAGTCTGTCGGTAACCATGGCAACCGCAAGCGGAACAATATGATAGGGTAAACTCGGAAGCTTTCGCCATGTTCGTGTCACAGGATTGCAGACACTGTACAGGCTTGGCTCGCCATCGCTTTTGTGAGACCATATGAAGAACAAACCTCCAGATGCTGCTTCGACGGAATGATATACCTCTCCGTTTGGACATTCCAAATAAGGCAAGCACATTTGATCCAGAAACCGGAGGTTGAGATCATACCACAAGTTCAGAGATTGATCATATGCGGCACAGAATGTGTGTGCTCGTCGACAAACGAGAAGGTACGAAGGTTGAGGGCTGACCAGCATGCACAGAATTTTGAAGCTTTGTGAAGATGGTAGAGTCGCCCATCTCTTACACACGGTGCGTAGATTGACGAGAGCGAGGACTGGCAAGAAGGCCAGCACCCTGTCTTGCAGCTCGGATGAAAGTTTGTTCCACATGGGACAAGGTTCATCACTCATGATTTCACATAGTTCACTCATGCTCTGTGTGGTTACTCGTGGAAATAACCTTAACTACACATCTAAAACTACAATTCTTGCTTTCGGATGGAGTACTCGTGGGCTGTAATCATCTACCATGGTCTAGTAATGTCAAATCTGTTCTGCTTCATCGCTAATCTATGCACTGACATGGCTCTTGAATTCACTGAATGACGATATCTTCACCCCAGCTCTCCCCCCACACTCCTAACAAACCTGAATTTGAGCTAATAAATCGGTTACGGAATTCAGAAACCCTCGGCAGACAACAGAAGGCTCACAAACTGCTACACAAATACAAAATATCGTAGCAAGATCGAATCTCGACCCTCGTATGCATGCAGAAGAAGAGAAAGAAGAAGATTGTAACAAGCTCCGATGCATTGCGTGGTCACGAGGAGTTGCAAAGCCAAGCGATGAAGAGACCAACAACTAGCAAGCGCTTCTTTCTTTTTCAACTGACAAGAGACGGATCCTCTCCTATCACAACTCTTCGACTGAGACGGATCCTCTCATATCACAACTCTTCGACTGAGTTCTAGTGCATTAAAGGAGCGTCTCCTATTTTCATCCCTACGCCTAATCTCAACCCCTCTCACCAGCATCTCTTTGTTCCATAATAAGAATTTAGGGCTCCTTTGGATTTCTTCATAAGTTAGTGTTGAATCTCTATGTTATATGTACCAAAAGTTGTAACTTATTCAGCCACAAGTATCCTCTTCGCTCTTAGCACATTTCATTGCAACAAATGATGTCCATCATGTTTTCATAATACATCCGATTTTTATAACATGGTATTAGAATTGGATGAATAGTATTATGGATGAATATTATTGAACAAAGTTTAAATGAAAAAGTTTGGATATTTTTTGTAAATGAAAACTTAGATGATTTGCATGTTGAAGTCAAGGAGTTGCTAGAGCTTTGCTGGAGTGTTAATGGAATTGCTAGAGCCTTATTGGAGTTATTGGAGCTGGAGTTTAATTCTATTGATGCTCATATACAAAATTAACTCATAAATGCAAATATAATACTATAAAGGAGATGTGGGACATATTGGCTAAGATTCACAAGTCCTTGGGAGTTATTACTGAGATATTTTTAATGAAGAAATCATATAATCTTTGATATTTGGATAGGATATCTATAAAGATTTTTCTTAGAGAGATTTTTGATCTTAGGGATCAATATATTGTAGTTAGTAGTGAAATAGATAAATAGAGTATGGCATTTTTTATACTTACCACATTATCACAATCTTGGGATCTACTTCTTCAGTCAATTATATCAAGAAAAAGAAAAGAGATGATAAAAGAAGTAGTGCAATCTATTCTTTTTGAAGAGGAGATGCAAAGGAAGGAAAAAATTAGTTCTCCATTTTTTGCTTTAGTAGTGCATACAAGAAGAAAGCAAGACTTAAAGAATCACCATCCATAATAAAAACAAAAACCTAAGCTTAATAAGTCTAGAAGTACTTATAGGACTTGTGGACAAAAAGAATATTAGCAAGGTAATGTAGAATGTCTTAAAATAAATAGCAATGGTGTAGTAAATATTGGAGTTGTTATTATTCTTTTACCTCAAGAAGCATCATTTAATTCAAAAATAATAATTGCATTGTTATTTCAATTACAACATTATGTACACATTCATAGTGCAACAAATGTATACATCCAAAGAGACATGAATAAGCTTTTCAATTTTAATGAAAATGCAACTATCCATCTCCAAGACAATGATGGTAGCAGTAATAAATTACAAGGCTCAAGTGAGATGCATCTCACAGTTTTACATCCTAGAAGAAAATATATTTTTTTAGTTGTGAAGGAAGTCCATTGGATTCCTAGAATACATGATACTTTATTATCAATTATAACTTTATGCAAGAAAGATTGAAAATTTAACTTAGTTATTAATGGACTCAATTGGATTCTATCTTTAGGTGATTTACTCACACAAGGCATACTAGCAAATAAAACTTATCTTATATCTTATGAAATTGAAGAAGTTGCCACAATTTCTAACTCATTTATTTTGGGTCATACACTTATTGAATGACATCAAGCATTAGCACATGCTCCAATGCATATAATATAGGAGGCAGAGCAAATGAATTATATTGAAGGATTAAAGATTAAAAGGGACAAGGATAAATATCTAAATGTGAATCATGTATTATTGGCAAGGCTCATAAGCGACATTTTTTGTAGAAGCATAAGCATGCCAATGGTATTTTAGATGTAATAATATTTGACCTTGGTTATTTTGATATAACTAACTTTTGTGATACTAAATAGTTAGTTATATAGATTGATGAATATTTTGGTTGTTATGGCCTTGCATTTCTTCAAACTAAGGACTAAATACATGTTGCTTATAAGACTTGGAAAGTAGATGCATAAAAAAGAATTGGAAAAAAGATATAAAACTTTTTTCACTGACTAAGTCAGTGAATTATTAAAGGATAAAAAAGAAAAACTTTTTTTACTCACTAAGGCATTGAATTCTTAAATAGTAAGCTTGGTTCTTACTTCAAAGCTGAAGGCATTCAATACATGATCACTCTCACACATACAAATGAAATTATTGGCATGACAGAGCATATGATGCGAGCTATTTTTGAAGGAGTACAAAAACATTTAGATGATGCCAAGTTGGTATCAAAGATAAGAGCTCAATGAAAACAAATAAACAAGTGAGACTTTTTCAAAAAAATATAACAAAATAAAATAAAGAAGTATGTATATTAAAAAGAAACTAGAATAGCTATTATCAAAAGATAAAAAAAAACTAGAAACTTCTTTAAATTAGACTAGAAATAAGAAAAGAATTGATAAGAGTGAAAAAGGCTTCACTCTTGCTTCTATATATACTATCTAATTGGAAACTATATAGCAACATTCTGTAGGATTGTCAAAGACAAGAACTTCATAAAAATAAATAAATTGTAATGTCGATGATGAAGAGTTTTTGATCTTAAACAAATATTGCATGACTGAACAAAATCTTTTATATCTTTTCACATTTGTGGCCACCAAAAATCTTTAGATATTAGTTCCAAAGTTTTATTGTATCCAAAATATCTTACTGCTAGAAAGTCATGACAAGCTTGAAGAACACATAATCGAACTTCATCTTTTAGAACATATAGGCGTCTCACAAAATATAGTAGATTATTTTTGAATTCAAAGTAAGAAATATCATGAGACTTTGAAGGGTTTTTCTTAATATCATGAAAAAGAGGATCACAAGATATACTTGATTGAACTTGCTTAATGAAAGTTGAATCAACAGTTAGTGTTGATTTCATTGCTCAAAGATGAAGATGCTCTAGCTTCAAGAGAATTGTCCTTTGCTGATCAAAAGTTACATCTCCTTTCTTTGGTGCAATATAAGATCGTTTAGAGAGTGCATCTGACAAACCTTGTTGTTTTCTTGGTCGATAAGTGATTTTGAATTTGAATCTTGACAAAGACATATTCTAACGAGCTTGGCAACAATTCAAAACATGTGCTGATATAAAATATTCAAGGTTCTTGTGATCCATATATACGATGCCTAGACTAGGAGCACCTTCTAGATAATGGCCCCATTCTTAAAATGAATCCATGATTGCAAGAAGTTCTTTATTGTGGCTCTCATAGTTGATCTCGATTGTTAAAAATTTTCTAAAATGAAAAGTTATTGGATGAAGTTTATCATCTGTTCTCATTTGTCACAATAGAGCACCCAAAGCAAAGTCTGATGCGTTTGTTTCCATAAAAAATGGCTGAGAAAAGTCGACGCGATACAAGATTGGTACAAAAACAAAGGCTGTCTTCAAAGCTTCACATGCTACTTTCGCTTCTTGATTCCATTGAAGTTTATCTTTACAAGTCAAACCTATAAGTGGAGCTGTATTTTGAGAGAAGTCTTTGATGAAGATCCGATAGTAGTTGATAAATCTCAAAAAGCATTGGACATCTCTTACCATTTTTGTAAATCTTCCAATCCATAATAGCTTGAACTTTCTTAGGATCCATCATAAATCCATCATTTGAAATGATGTATCCCAACAAGTTAACTTGAGTAGTGTGAAATACACACTTTTCTATCTTAGCATAGAGTCTCGCATCTCTTAGTTTTTGTAACACATGACAAACATGAAGTTCAGGTTCTTCTGTGTTCTTAGAATAGATTAAGATGTCATCTATGTAATAAACAAAAAAATCATCTAAAAACTCCCAAAAGACATCATTCATTAGATGTTGGAATGCTACTAATATATTTGTAAGTTTAAAGGTATGACGTTGTATTCAAAATGTCTTCTATTCATCTCTTTTTTTGATGCATACCAAATTATATGCTCCTCGTAGATCTATTTTTGTATAGATCTTAGCTTGATTCAATTAATCAACGAATCCAAATATCAAAGATAGTGGATACCAATTCTTGATAGTGATTTTCTTGAGTCCTCGATAATCGACACACATCCGTAATAATCCATCTTTTTTCTTCACAAATAAATTGGAGCTCTTGTTGGAGATTTGGAATGACGTATGAAGTTCTTGGCCAGATTTTCTTCAATATACTCTTTAAGTTCAGTCAACTCATTTTGTGATAAACTATAGATTGGTCCAAATGGCAGTTATGCTCCTTCTTGAAGGTCAATTGAGCAGTCATAGGAATAATGTTCCGAAACAGTATCCATATTCTTCTTCTCAAATACATCTTAAAAATCTTGATATTGGCTTGGAATGCCCTCTTGAAGTCTTTCCACCAGTAGAAACAAGTGCAGCATAAAAAACACAAGGTGATCTTTCTTTTGCAGCATGCAAGAAAGCTCTTGCACTTATAAATACAAGTTTAATTGTATTAGACTTATGACTTTCTACTTGATTAACTACGCTCTTAGTTATACTTTCAGAAAAGCTAAGACTACAAGAAGTCCAATCTATTTTAGGGTTATATTTTTCTAGCCATGATAAACCTAAAATAACTAGATTAAAAGGAGATTTAATGATATTAAATATTACAAAGCTACTATGACCATTAGTTGTTACTTCTATAGGAAGGGTTTCATGAATAATATCTCCTGAAGACAACGGGTGACTATCTATGACTTCTACATGAACAGGTTTAGTTTTCTTCACTAAAAGTATGCTATGTTTTTTAGCAAATTCTTTATCTAAGAAACATGTCGAGGCTCTTGAATCTAACAAGGTAGAGGCTTTGTGATGTTTAGGTCCGAGAATAACATTTATCATAAAACAAGGAGAGGGTTCTGAGGAGAGATTAGGACCTTTACTAGGTGTTGTACAAGGTTCCAATGGCATGGTCCCTATTGTAGCTGGACAAACTCAATTTTTGACATTCTATTTTTTTGATAGCCATACTCTTCATTTTATGGTTGCATCGCATCTTTGAGCAAAGTTGAGTAGTGTGCTTAGGTTCTCCATAATATAAG